TTGGCACTCTGGAAGATTTTATGCCTTAGGGTGTGCAGAGAATATTATAGTACGACTTCGGTGAGTGAGGAATAGGTCTGTCTTTTATAAAGTAGGCAAAGGCTACTGTGAACGGGAGTGAGTGGCAGGAAAGAAACCCTGTATGATGCTAGGACATGTCTTATATTTAAACTGAGAACGTGAAAATTGATTTCCTTAAGATAGCAGAATACTTCCTGTAAATTTGTGTGCTGCTGAGGGAATGCGTATTCCAATCGGAAGACACTCTGCCAGGAAACTGACCACTCTTTTATCTTCTTCTTAGCTTCTAACAGTTTGTCATTGTAATTTCTCCATTTGCCTTATTTTTGTGGATTTCTGCCTTATTAAAAAAAAAAAAAAAACTTTTGGATGGGATTCTGGAGATACAGAGATCTATATGTATTCATTGGGCACCAGGTGTGATTAGAAGCTATATCCAAGAACATTTTCTTTAAGTTTACCACTGAAGGCTTAAAAATGAATATTGGCAAACAGTTTTCTTTCTTCATGTCATAAATAATTCTTTCTTGGAATAAACCAAAAATGAGATGTAAATATGCAGATACTAGAATTTCATAAGATTTACTTGATTACAGAATTTGTGGAAAGTAAAAGAATAGGATCTTCTTAGTTGCTTTTAAACAATAAACATCTTCACTCCCTGTTTGGAGTACCACAGCTGTTGTGTGGAGTTATACCCTTCTGTTTCAAAGCAGAATAAGACCCAACTTTTTCTAAATCATAACTAAAGTTTTTGGATTTATTGTTTTAAAGGATAGTGGTAAGTGCAACAGCATCACAATCTCATAAAATCCAGCTTACATATCATTGTAATCAGTTTTCATTGATTTATATGTGAAACAGATGCTAAATTTGGAATTGTACCTGTTACAAACATCAAAATCAGGATGTTTTTCTGTTTATACACAGCTGATTTCTCGAACTGAAGAGGGAGGTTTGGGAACCGAAGGCCTCTTACGAATACCTGGAGCTGCCATGAGAATCAAGGTAACCTCTTGGTTTTTCCAATGTAAACATTTTATCATGTAATTATACTTTTGCATTTTAAAAGCTAACTTGTCCTCGCTACCCCTTATTTCCATTGTTAGTACATAAAACAATAAAATCTCTTGCCATTGATTTTATATTAGTTTTTATTACAGTTACTTCTGTTTTTTTGGTAAATTTGGTTTTTCT